TATTCGGATAATTATCCGGATATCAATAGTAAAACGGATATCCGAATAAATTCAGATCTGGATATCCAATGGATAAATGGATAATGGATAGGAACTCTATTACCTTCACCTTCATTTCACCTTTAATTCTACGTATACATCTGCAGGTATTCTTTTTCCTTTGATGACAACGTTTTACTTGTTTTTTTTTTTAGTTTGTTTTGTAGTCCAACTACATCGCTGTAGCCTACGTGATAACCCACACCACAGCTCTCTGGTCCAGTATTTGTGGATTAATATTCATCAGCGTGCTTTACAGGAATCTCCATACATGAAAACATAGATGAATATTTCTGAATGCGTAAATGATGAAAGGTATCGTAAATTTTCGATAAAAAAATATTGCTTAATAAAATATTACTTACATTAGGAGCTTGAAAACTGAACTTGTCGATTTGCATATTTACAGGATTAGAATGTCGTGGATAAAGAACTATTGGTTGAGATGAAGTGGTTCCAACAATATATAGGCTTTGTTGATCAGACATTTCATAAGTCGCAGGTAATTCTTCATATCCATCTATTATAAGTACATTTATGATCATATAATTTGGTTGCGTTATTTGAGTGATTTTTCATATCTACCCATATCTTGATAAATTAATCCGCAATTACTTAATGTAATTGCATTGTATGAATCAATTAGTGATTCATTAATCCGCAAGTAATTCATCATATCTACCCAAATTTTTATAACCCATGATTATTTAATGTAGCTTAATTGTTTTGGCTAAATTCCAAAACTTATTAAAATTCACAAGTGCCTTGATAAGTTAATCCACAATTATTAACGTAGTTGCTTATTTGAATCAATTTCTAGTGATTATTATAATCTGCAAGCGATTCTTCATATCTTTCCAATTTTTCATAGTAGCTGCATTGCTGAAACACTTAAATTCTACAAATGATTGTTCATATCTGCCCATTGATAATTTTCAGCATTATGGCAATCTTGATGTAAATAATTCTGATTTACGACTTGTAATTGGTTGATCTTTAAAGAAGTAATTATTGGTAAAAATAATAATCATAATAATAACTTTTCAAAATTATAATAAAATAGAGTTAACCTAC